AAAAAAAAAATCTAGCAATTTAGGTTGTTGGTAATATTTAATAGTAGAAGACAAAGTTTGAGGTGTTATTTTGAATTATGATCCAGAGTATAACAACATCAGCTTTTTAAAAAATATTTGGAAGAGGAGATCGTAAACCTTGTACTTACAATTTAAATCACCCAAATTTGGTATATGTTTTTTTCAATCTAAGACATTGTTTTATGGTTGGGACCATCTTACCAAAACTTATGTGCCACAGCTTCATCAGATCAGCTTTTGTACTGATAATTATTATGAATGCCCACTTGTGAGAGAGGCCATATAGCAAATATCTTCATAAGAGTTACACGTGAAAAGGTAATCCGTCCCTAGTAATCCCTCCCATGCCCCACTGGGAGTATGGGAGTAAAGACAAAAGAAAAGTAAATCCACATGTATATATACGGGTGTTATGATCTTGCTATCATTAGCACTCCCAAGCTCACTTTTTGGCTATGGACCTTCCAGTTGGCAAGTGTTGCTTGTTGAAATCACAGCCCCTTGGGCCAAACTGGCTGATCTCTTTATACAGCAAGATAATAGGGTAATTCATGGGTATTTGATGAGTTACTACAAAAAGAAAACAGTCCATGCAAGACAGTAGAATCAAGACAAAAGAAAATAGTTCTAATTTGGTCTAATACAGAATGCAACAGCTTACTGAGGTGAAAATGCAATTCTTCAAAATTCTGCCAGTCTGTGTTAAAGCTACAGTGAAATAAGACTACCAGTCTTCCACTGGTGCTTCAGACACCTTATCCCAGTCTTACAAATTTTTTCCCTCATATTTCTCTCTTGTAAGTGCAGTTCATAATCATCTACAGAACAGTTTGTATTTCAGACACATGTGTGGCAACCACGATGGAAACTGCTGTTACACATACTACTTTTGGCTTTTATGCTGTTCATGCAAGAACAGGATTGACTATTTGGATCATATTTGGAAATCAGGATTTCAAGTTCATTGTATATTTCTACATTGTTCTATTTAAGCTTTATATTGATATATTCCCCTGGGTATTTATCTTCTTAAAATAACCTAAAAAGCCCATGGATTTAGTATTTTAGAAAGCTTTGTGAGGCTATTGATGTCTAATAACTCTGAGCTTACACATTTTATAATAGCTTAATATATCAAGGGGTAGTCAAATATTATTTTCAAGATAAAATACTTAAAGGAGAGTGAGAAGCAGAGAAAAAAAAAAAAGATTGATTTCATTGTACTGAATATAATTGTAATTGGGTCATTAGCTGACAGAATTCTGTGCTGGCCAGGAGGAGATAAAGATACGACATATGCGCACAAAAATGAAGGCTGGAAGATGAATAGGCCTTCCAGAGAGTTGATCTTTACAGATCAGATAAAGATTCTTCAGGTCTCTTTCTTGCAGTCCGTGCTACATCAAAGGCTGCCTTTCAGAGATAGGAACGTGCACTTGGAATCTGGGGACAAGACCTTTGAAAATAGACAGTTTTGGATTGACAGACAGCTGGGCTTTGGGTTTTTAGTTGTTGGTTTGCTTTGTGTGTGTGTGTGTAATCTTTTGTAATCCCTTTAAAAGTTAAAGAAAAGTTCATAGACTGATGGAGTAAATAACACTCACATCTTATCTATCTTTCCCAAAAGCGGTTTTGCTCTAAAGTAACCATTCTCTTTTGAAAGATTTAAGGAAATCTAGTGGAAATCCTGATTTCTTTCAAAGTTTGATGAAAAATACTTACTTGTGGGCAGTGGCTGTCTTTTAAGGGATAGTTCTTCTTTTATTGATGAGCTAAGTATTCTGAAAATTACTGAAAATAATGCACCCTGCTCAATAGTTAGAAAATAGCAAGGGAGAGGGCAGTTCTCATTCGCTAAAAAAAGTTAAAAATAAAGTAGAAATAATTGTTTCATCTGGGAACATTTATTAAATGCTTCTTTAATCACAGTGGTTTCAAGCACCTTAAATTTGACATCAGCTACTGTGTCAATCACACTGGCTAAACCCAACATCAGCCCTTTTGATCTCTTACTTAGAAGCACCATCTCACAGCAGTCGCGCGTCCTCCAAAAGCACAGGAGAAGCTGCTAGAGCATTTTGTTAGCTTTTGCAGCCCTCTCCTCCTGATCATGGTTTCTCAGTTTATGTACTACTTCAGAGTAATTTGAGTATCATTACCATAATCTGAGAATCCTTGTACTCCAGCAGACTGTACAAAGTAGGGTTTTTTTTATAAAATACTTTGAAGTAAGCCAGAATGTTTCTGTTACATACTAGTTTTGTTCCTTTTCCCCTTTTTAGTGGTGTTTGGTTTTTCATCCTCTCGATCTAAAAAGATGATGTTAAATAGAGCTTCATTCTAGGCCTGAAAACTTCTCACAGCTTTCATCTTCACGCATACAGAGGCATGGAGTAAGAAATGATTGAAACCCGTTATGCAGAAATACTGTTTTGCATGTTTGTTTTAGAACGATTTCTGCTTATTTTCTTACTTATATATATGAACCTCAACATTTTAGTGTTTGCTAGAGAAGCCTGTTGGGAACTGCAGTGGATCATGGTGTTAAAGAAGGTGTTACCTTATTAAACCCTCAGTGTAATGAGAGGGAAAATGGGAAGTGTCAGGTGTCAGCCTGCTGTTGTGTTACTCCTCTGTTGGCGTTCTCCAGAGACTCCTCCATCAAACCAGGGAAGGCAAGACCTGACATTTGCATGCCTCAAAAGGAAGCAGGCATGATTTCTTTGAGAGAGATGAAAAATTAGTCTCTCCTTGTGCCACAATAAAGGGCATAGGTAACTTTGTTGCACAGTCTAGCTGGTTTTGACCCAGGAGTCTTGACTTCTTACTCTTGCTCTTAACAAAGCACTCGCTGTGGGAGGCTGAATGTCTCAATCATTAGGCTCCATGTTGCTGTAGCAGTAGCATTTCTCCTTGCATAGAAATGAGGAACTTACTAGAACACCTTAGCTTCATAAAATATTTTTTTTTAAATTTATTTTGAATACTCTTCCCTTATCTTTCCTAAAAAATATTAAAGTTATTACACAGGAGGGAACGATTCTGGTTTTTGCATGCACAGACTTCCCATCAGTCAACCCATGTCTTTGGAAAAAACACCTGCTTCTTGAAAATGAAATCCTTGCATGATCTGTGTCCTTATGGTAGTCTGCGCGTAAATGTTGATAAATTCTTCTACTGGAAGTGAACTGGGTAATCAGAGGCCTGGCTTGTGGTCAAAATTGTTGGACAAAATTGTTCTAGTACATTACCAGAAAACTGAAAATACTGCAGGTATCTGGGGTGTTTGTCCAGAGCGGTCAAGGGGGAGCTGTACTGTAGTGCATCAAATGATATAATAGCTTTGCTTCTGTAAATGTGGTACTTGGCTACACTGGAGGGTACCTCCAGTTGGACATGCCTGTAAGATGCTGGTAGCTTTCTGTTAGCTACCTTTGTCGATTTCTATTTGAACTGACAATAAAACGGATGAGTGGAAGCACAATTTCTGGCAGCAGAGCAAAGAGGTTTGTTAGGGGTTTTTTTTGTTTATATAGGATTATTGCAAACCTAAAAGAAAGGAGAAGATCCTAAGTTTTGCTTTGTGAAATTTATCATCCTGATAGTTGTTAGAGAGTGGAGAGGGACTGCCTGCATGGGAACAGGTAACGTAGTGGTTACTACCCTGGACTGGGGCTGATGTGAGATTCTGACAGCACCATCTCTGCGAATCCAGCTTATGTGAACTTTCTGGTCATATTCCCTTTGGTTGTTAGCAAGGACTGACAGTTGACTCAACTGAAAATGTGACTTAGACCACCAGTTCATTTGGTGTAGGAATTGGTCTGAATATTAAAAAGTTCATCAGCCTTAGTGTGCCCATATTGTTACACAGTAAAGTGTTCTCATCCCTAGTTATCTGGTGGATATAGCCAGGCTATTTCTGTTAGAAAGGGACCATGACTCCCCAGAAACAGTTGCTAAAATTTTTGTTGCGCTCTACAATAATTTAGTTCTCAAACTCACTCACTCAACAATTAGGGCATGGCTGAGTCCACATGAACTGCGCTCACATCAGGTAGCTGCTTCTTCAGAGCTTGCTTGCTTGCAGGATGGGTGCTTGCCTCCAGGGCTGCCAGCACCGGGGATGCTGGAGTTCAGCTCCAGAACACTCATTACGCTTGGCAACTCTCAAAGGCAAAATTGCAGTAAACTCTTCATAAGCATGTACAGACAACTTTTTTCAAAGACTTGTAATTTTGCATGAGGAGTGGCATGTCACCAACCCAACGGATGCGTCAGCTCAAGAGACTGATGTGCGAGAGGATCAACTGCTCATTCCTGTGCGCTGTGCTTTGCTTCCCGTGGGGCTAAGTGGACACACTGGATTTCTTTCAAATTAATTTCAACGGGAAACATGCCCTCTAGGAGCAGGCCTGTTACTCTCCAGCTGCTAATGTGTATTCAGTCCGTGGGACCAGACTAGAGCTAGTCCAAATTACTGAGTTTTTATGGGTCTTTAATAATCACAGGGGATGTCAGTACTTCCTATAATTGAAGCTAAATAATTTAATGTAGAAATAAATGTCCGTAACACAGTGTTTTAAGATTCTAATAAATACTTGTCATTGGATGGTAGATTAAATTAATGCATATAAGGCAAGGTGGTGTGTGTAAGGAGAAAGCATTTTCAGAAGGATATTAATGGATTTTGAACTTAACTAGGACTTCTTAAATGACATTGGAATGAGGGTTAAGTTTTCTAATGCATGATTACAGTACTTAAAAAAGCAAATAATAGAGAAAATAGCATTTTTGAAATGAGATGGTGCATCTTTACTCAAATACACACAATTTTCCAGTAAGTGCAAAAAAGCATAGCTGCATAGAAAATTGCATAGCGAAAACATGTGTTATGAAGAAATTAAAAAAGAAAGACTTTGCTCTCTGAAGAATCAGTAAAGGCTAAAATATATGTGTTCTCTCTCTTTGGTTTTCAGCGCCTCGCTAAAGAAGCAGAGAAGTACCAAGCGTCACATCAGTGGAGGGATGAGTTTGGGGTAAGTTTCAGTTTTTCTCATTTTAACCTTCTCAGATCTTTCCTCTTTGAAATGTTAACTATGTTCTTACAAACGTGTTGTTTATATATCCACCACAGATGGAGTCATTGACTATGAATGGGAATTTTATTTTATTCAGTAAACAGAGTCTCAGTCTGGGTGTCTGGAGAATAAAGTGGACTTTTCACTTCAGAAGCTCACAGGGAGCTTCGCAGACCCCAGGGATGTAGCTCAGAGGTGCACACGAGACATCTGTTTGGTTTGGCACACAAGGAGTGATTACAGAGAAGAGATCTGAGTGATGGTTACTACCTGTTAAAAGCATGCTACTCCAAGCACTCAAACACAGAATTATAGAAAACATTTTTACAAGTTGTTTTTTACTTGAATGGTGGAAATAAGCAGGAAAAAGCTTAGTACAGAAGGATTTGGTTATCTACATGACTGTCTGCTTTGGGAGTCATAGACTATTTTTTTTAGAATCCTTTTCTATACTTCAATAACTGCATCTCTTCTCTTCAGTATTCTACTACTACCGAAGAGGCCCTAACCTAGTCAAACACTAAACTATCTTCTTCAACCATTTCAGACTTTACTGAAAACCAAGTGAGATGATTGTAAAATGTACAATGTTAATTCTTTATTACCGATCAAGTCAAATCAATATTGTGTTGCATGATTATAAGCTTGTTCATTTTAGGCTACAGCTCCCTGCTAAGTGGCAAAGTCATTTATTATGCCTTCATTACCTGTTTCCTTCAGAAATAAAAGCAGATGGTGCTTTTACGTGATGCTGCTACATAGGCTGTGTTTGCCCATCGCTAGAATCAGTGGCACACAGTTAAAGGCACAATGGTTTTCTATAATGTCCTTTCTGATCCAGCATTCCTCAGACACTTGGAGAGCTGAAAACAAACAGATAAAATGACCCCATAAGGTCAGGCCAAATAATTCAGATAAGAGTGACTGGCTTTTAGGAGTGCAAAGAGGGTCTGGACACAGCCTGAATGCTTTTAAGTGTGCTTTCTGCACAGGCACAGCTTCTGATATAAGGTAAACCACAGAATGCATATTCCATAGGGATGCAATAATGAGAATGCTACAGAGACCTTTTCTGCTAATCCCTCTCTGTTTTGAATAGAAAACAAAACCTGCAGGTTTGATGGACTCGGTGCAGACAGTGTGAATACAGTCAGGTGCTCTTTCTAATCACTTTGCTTCTTACCTTATACACTGGCATCACATCAACAACGCCGTGTCAGCATTTGGTTTTCTTTTTGCTCTTTACTTGCAGTAGAAGTCAGCCATAGCAGAGAGGCTTCTGGTCTTATCAGAATTCGTAGCCAAGGAGAGATCTCAAAGTAATTTTGAGATGTGGTTTTATATTAATGTTGTGGCTCAGGCAAAGACTATGGTCAGAATAAAATAAAATAAAAAAATGCAGTTGGATTTATCATAAAGTAACTGCAAGCTGAGCTTCTGCTTTACTGTTTTGAATTTGGATGAGAACAGTGTGCACCATATAATAACCTTGACATTAGGTTATGCAATTAAATTTCAAATAAATGTATTAAGCCTCTTATAATTTAATTTGTTCCATTTTTGCCAGAAGTAATCTTTCTTCTCTTCTGGCCTACTTCTTAGAAAATGCCTGCTCAAATTAGTTTGCACACAGATCTTTCTGATAAACTTAATTTTCACTGGAAGCTTCATTCTCCTAATGGCTGTGATGGAAAATAGAAGATGCACTGTAAAACTTTCTGTGGATGAGGGTTCTTAAAGTACTTCTGATAGCATTATGAATGGTCTACATCATACTGTACGACGTTTATTCCTTCTCCAGGATTTGGTTTTGGGTGATGAAAGCCCTTCCAGCAGCATTGCACATGAGTCACTGCAGACGAACTCTTTGGGACAACCTATTTCTGCTTCTAATGAGTTCACAATCAGTAATGCCCTTGACAGTCAGATTGCAGCCAAATAATAGCCTATGGAGTTTTAAGGAGAAACACAAACATTCCTTCTGGGAAGTATATGTGGGCTGACTTCAGTGGAAGAAATCCAAAAGAGGAAGGGCAAAGAGGGCTGGCCATAAAACCAAGGTCTGTACAGAGCTACAAGGGATGCGTCAACCAAAAGACTGCCAGGGTGCCTGTTCTAACACGTTATTCAGAATATGAATGTTTATTGCACAGTTTGCAGCAAAAGAAGCTTGTGAGCATTAAGGATTTTTAAAGATTTTTATTTGCAGGTTAATGTTGCAGGGTAATAAGAATTCAGCATCCTCAGATACGGTCTTTTGAAATTAGTTCATACAGGGAAAAATCTTTGAAGATACAGCCTCATTTCTGTTATTTCAGCTAATAATCTCTTGTAAAGACTGTCAGAATTGTCTAAAGGAGAGGATTTGCTTGCCTGTTAGAATAAAAGTTGTGACTTACTGAACAGTGAATATCTGGTGTTAGCTAAAGTATTTTCATATTCCTATACTTCTGTCACCTTGCATACCTTTCTAAATACAGAGATTGACAGTAGGGTCTCTATATATTCTTTTTATTAATAAATGAATGTTCGTCAGATGTATATTGAATGTCTCAAGAGCAAAAATAAAAATCTAAAACGAGTTAAGAGCATGTATCTTACATATTTAGCTAAGTGACAGAAATAAAGATTATAATGTATTTTGGTATTTTGCATTGATAATGAAATACCAAAATAATATTTGCAATTAGTAATTAATTTACTAAAAAGTTGGAAACTATTCAAAGGAATATTATTAAGAATCATAATTAAGAATACTGAATGTCTTCTGAGTAAGAAAGGAAAAATAATATTAATATCAGATAGTAATGTGTTGTTTCCTGATTAAGCACACAGTCAATTAAAACGTCTCAACTGCAGTTTACATTTACAGTCCTAAAATAATACTTACCTGTTAGGAAACTATTTAAGTCTTTAGAGAATATTCGTGAAGTTTATGAAGGCAAATCCAAAGCTCTTCTCTTCAGGCAAATAAAGAAATGCCATTCTCTGCTTCCTACTCCATCTGTATTGCCCAATTCCCTAGCTACCTATACAGCTGGAGAAATAAAACCCACTTAAATGTTTTTAAATTAATGCAGTTACAAATCAGAGGTACAAACCAACATATTTCTAAATGAAACAGCCTTGTCAGTTTGAGTTTTCTTGTATGCTGCAGAGTGAAAGGGGGCTGGTTTTGGCACTTGTGATGGTCCAATTATTTTTCTGACATAGAGATGCATGAAAAAAAATGGACATGAATTGGAAGAAGGAGGGGAGAATTCTGTATGAAATAATTGCTGTTATTCCCCAAATGGATCTTCTACAATTACATTTGATACCACATTTGATTGCCCTGCAATGGTTGGTTAACTAAAGCAATTTTGTTTCCAGTCGGGTTGCAATATTAATTGTACTTACACATGTATAAACATAAGGGATATCTCATTTGTATTTTAACAAGGGGAGTCTTTATGGATGGCCTATTAGCATCCACTTACTTACATGAATACCGAAACTCAGACTTTCAGGAATTATTTTTCACATTTAAATGTCACGGGCAGAATCCTTTCAATAGGCCTTGTCTTTTAACCAATAGTGTCATTTTATATAGTGTTCTGTGTAAATTATTATTTTCTGAGGCCTGGTATTTCTGAGACAGCATTTGCTGTGATGATAATGTGTAGGCTGGTGTTTATGTACCGACCGGGCTTAAAAGGAAAGACAAAAGGTCATGGAAATATTACTTTGGAATTCTGTTTTTTTTTCCTAGTACAAATATTGGCTGCATAAAACTGTAGTGAAAACTTTCTCAGGAAAGAACTGGAAGATAAAAAGGATAAACGAGATAAAACAAGTCTCGCATCACAAGAGTTGATCCAAGAGGTGACCTGCAAAAGCAAAGCAGTCGTAGGCGTCTCTTTGTGCTTGACAAGTCTTGCAGATTGAAGATTTTCAAGACTGTCTGTAATTTATTGTGGGTATTACAACAACATTAAAACATTGCATCTTAAAAGCCTCAACTGGAAAACAAACAAACAAACCACTAAACTTTCAGCTTTAAAATGCTGCTTCATTCTAAAGAGGCAGTTTAGTAAACATTGCCTTTGGAAAGAGGGAAAAGCTCTGACGAAAACAATGCAGACTACTTTTTCTCTCAGATCATCAGGGAGAGGATACAGCCCTCTTACGGCTTGTACCTCTGATAGTCCTCTTGGGTGCAAAGAGCATCTGTGGGCAATGATACTGTTCACATTTGGCTCCAGACCTGGGGTACAGGGAACCGGTCCCCACAGGCACAAGGGAGGTGTGGGATCCTTTCCCAGTAAAGTCATACATACTTCATAATTTTGTGGAATTTTTAGCAACACTGAACACGGGCAAAGCCTCAAAGCTGTCTGCATCTTCACACAGTGCTCTGATCCAAAACCCAGTGAAATAAATCTTCCCTTGATTTTGATTCATTTTGAATAAGGCCTCACACGTCTAAAGCCTGTGTGATTTGGAAAAAAATATGCCGAATGATTGATTTAAATTGACAGGCAGATGGTCAAGGTTTTAGGGAGGATATTTTATTCTCTGAAGGGCTGTGTGCCACCTTCTCTTCTGTGACATATAGCTTTCATTTGTGTATAATTTAAATTAAATGTGCCATATTGCACTGAAAGGAATGAAATCAACTTTTTTTTCTGTCAGGGGTGATTTGCACTTTGACATGTTTCTACCCAGGGGACAGAGCTTTGTGTGTGCACTGCGAGTGATAGGAAGGTGAGGTGCAGAGGAAATAAGAACGAATTATATTTACTGAAATTGGGTGCTTTTAGGGGTTGTTCTGATGTTTATCTGATGCTTATCAGATCACTTATACCTTTTTGATTCATAAAAAATGCACTGTGAGTATTGCAGGAACAGGCCTTTCTGCAAGTTTTTCAATAGTGCTTTTTCAAAATGAGACAAGATGCAGCAGTTGCAGCATTTGA